AGGAGAATAGAGTGAAGAAAATCTGCTGTGGAGAAAGTCAATGGAAGAGGCACAGCTGGGAGAGGGATCCATAAAGAAGCAGGTATAACCATCCAGGTGAGAGGGAATGAGGCCTGAATTAGGAAGGGGTGAAGAAAGGGAGGGGTAAAACCTTGTGACTACTCTTTCAGGTGGCATTTTAATCTCCATGTTATTGATGAGACAACTGTGCCTTTGAGTGGGGAAATAACTACCCAAGGACACCCAGTCTGACTTATTAGATCCAAGACCAAAACCTAGGTCTCAACTGCTTCGTATTATTCACTTATTGGACATCTATTTTGTTCCAGGAACTAGGCTTGGCACTTATGCACATTACTTCATATCAGACTTCCAATAACCATTTCTCCATCTTTCAGATGAAAAAAAATGAGACTCAGAGGTGAGAATTAACTTGTCTAAGGGTACATAGTTGGCTCAAACTGTTTCTGAAGCCAAGTCATCTGATTCCAATGCCCCTAGTCTTTCATCCAGCATTTCCTTTCAAAATCAGAAGAAATGTGTTCACAACATAGCTTAGAATGAATTGAATTTAGGAATTCCCATCCCCGGAGCTAATCTAAGCTTAGAATGTAGGCCCGTTCAAAAAAAGTTTTATCAAAAGCCTAGGTGACAGTCCCATGCTGGGACTCTTTAGTCCCACTTCAGGAACCACATAATGGAATTCAGTTGGGCCTCCAAAGTCCCATTCCTTGCCTTTTAGGGACAGAGCAGTTGTGATTTCCACTGGGTTCTCAAGGACAACCATGTGGGACTGTGGGCTGAGAGTCAGGACACATGGGACACATGGCCCCATTAATCTCATTGTGAAGCTCAGGCAAAGACTTTCCATGGGTCCCTTCAACAGTCTGGGATTCTACATCCTTGTACCCATCAGAGACACAGCGTGCTATTCCTTAAGTGACAGAGATGTTGGACCTTTGCCTCAGTGTCAGCCTGGCCTCCTCACCCTAAACAAGTAAGGCACTGAGATCCTTCGCTCTGAACACTCAGACCTGCGTCGTCCCCAAAACCATCCCACCCATGCAGACATGATAATGAACCCTCCCACCAGATGGTGCAATCTAGAATCAGCCTTGTTTTCCTAAGCCAGATATCAGGTTTATCTGCTCTGGGATTCTGTGACCCTGCCACTCTTTCTAGATATTTCCTGCCCTCACCTCCATTCCTCAAATAGCTAATGGAAGTGCTACTATAAACCAAGCTGGACATCCAGAATCTGACTTTCAGGACCACCAAATGCTTCCTGACGTTCCCACTGCTGGCCCTTGTCAGGACGTGGGTAGGGCATTATGGGAAATGGGGCCCAAACATCCCAAGTCCACCTAAACTTTGAGCTCCAAAACTGGTCATTTTGATGACCTGAGGCCATGCCAGCTCCAACACTCTCCTTACCTTCCCTAGCAGTTCAGCTGCCAAGCCCCCACCAAGCTTTTGGTCAAGCTTACCCAATTTACCATACTTTAACTGATTTCTTCTGGCTTTTTGGTCCCGGAGCCTTTAACCTCTCTCTATTCCAATCCTTGAATGAATTCCTGGCCCCACTTGAAAGGCCTTTCAAACTGAGTGAAAGTAATCTTCTGCCCCAAGTGTGTTGACATCAAGACACCATGGGTACTTCCTTCCTGACTAGAAATGCCATGAGAGAGTCCAGTAAGAGCTTGGCTCACTGCCCTTGTCAAGGTCTCCCCAACATCCGCTCAAAAAAATAGTCGTCAGAAAACACACCCAAGAAAGTGTCAGGAAGCAACTAGTCATCTGAATTATTTACTGTCCCCTGGAACATGGCCAGACTAGATGCTTGTCATACAGATGCTGGGAAAATATTTATGTGGGTCCTGATGGATGCTTGGCCAGGAAAGACTGCACGCTGTCATCTTTTCTTCCTGCTGATAAGGCAAGGCAACACATGTCAGACTGCTCTTAGAACAGCCTGGCGCAGGGGCCTGGCATGTCACTGGAGTGAGGTTAATGGCTGCAGCTCTTGGTTCTATTCCAGCGTCTGCCACCAGCTAATTCTACCCCTCACAGGGCCTCAGATCCTCCATCCATAGCATCACAGAGTGCATCAGATGAACTCAATGTTTCTGTGATCCTATGAGATTGTGACCCAGACAGAATCAGATCTATTTTCCAGATCTGCCATCATGATGCCATTGGCTCATCACAGAGCTATTTTTCTTGGCATCCTGGAAACGTTCCTGAAATTCCAACATCCTCGAGTTTCTCTTTCCACTGATCCAGTTTCTGTAATCAGATGGGAGAACTCCATCTGGAGGAGAAAGATCTGAGCTTAAAATAAAAATAGTAAACTCAAAGAGGGGAAATTGAGTTCCAGCAGTGTTTACCATGCATCCAATATTTGCAAAGCTTGATGGTGAACCCATGGGGGAAGCGAAGTGGCCCCCTGTCTTATTTTTTAAGCCACACTGAGTCCCAGTCCTGTCCTATAAGGGCTCACAATAAATGGGGAGAGTGACCCACAAGGCTCCTCTTATCCCCAAAGGACCTTGTGTTTCTTCCTACCCATAAACTCCAGGACCCCTGACTGCCACCCTTTTCAGTTCCGTAATTCTGTCCCTGTCTGTGATCATCTTGGGCTCCTTGCTGTGGGGATTTGGGCCTCCCAGCTCTCCACTCCCTGTGAATGACCTGATCTCACTAATTTTTCTCCATTTCAAAGTTTATGGTTACTCCTTTTGAAGACCCGCCCAAAATAACAAAGTCACAGATATAGGACTAAGGTTCAGGAAACCTCAGAGATTTTTCATTGCTTCTACTCAAGGGTTCTTTCTTTCTTCTCAGAGAAGCTTGATGCTGTCTCAGCACCTCCTGCTGACCTCAGTTTCTCTCAGCCTTCCTTTTTCTCTTCAGACCCACCCCTCTCCAGGAAGTTTCCATTTCCCAATCTGAAGGTACAATCTGGTGGCTTCAGTGGCTACTGAGAATTTGGAATGTAGAAACCTTCTAGTCCAGGGAAGCACGATCAATGACTATTTCATCAAGAGATAATCAGGACAGGCAGCAGCGGGTAGGCCTGGCCTCACTTCAGTTTACTTGGTCTGAAGGACGACTAACTATGAACTCTCCTTTTCTCCATTCAGCAGACTTACCTATACCTATTAGATGCTGAACATTGTGCAAGGCATGAGTGTGGGGGAGATGTGCAAAGGGAGACAAAGTCCTGCTCTTTCTACCTGCCCCCCAGGTACCTGGCATCCTCAAACTAAGTCCTGTGACATGACCAGGACAGCCTCTGCTACTTCATCCCATCATCGCAGCTCTTCCCTTATCATCTCCCTTGGTCTCAGAATCATGGCATCACAGGAGGTCAGTCTAGAAGGGCCCTCTGAGACCAATCTAAGACATCTTAGTCCATCTGTGAAATCAGTAAGAATGAACCTGTATAATGCAGCCATGTGACCAAGGATCACAGCCTGCAAAATTCTGATAGTAGAATCATGTTATATTACCAACAAGGAAACAGAGAGTGAGTGAGAGGCCGAACTGGGGCCCAGATAGTAAGACTAACAGTCCTGAGTCAGGGCAAGATGCTCTACTAGTCAGTGCAGACATCTCTTATCATCCCCACAAAACCCGAAGAGGCAGGCTTTGTTAACATCCCCATTGCTCAAACAAAAAAACAGACTAAGAAAGACATAGTAACATCCCCAGTTATGCCTCTTTGAAGTGGTTGAGCATAGGTTCAGACCCATGTCTGTTTGATCTTAGAGACATTTTGTCTAGAATCCAGGAACTCAGGTATTAAACACACATTACATTGAGGAACCAATGACCGATATTGTAATTAGCTATAAGAAGGCCCATCCTCCCAGGGAGATGCATTTTAATATTCTTTCTTCATTTAACAATAAAAATAACTAAAACTCAAACAAGATACCATAGTCCTATGGTAGTGAGAGTACAACATGAAACCCAGGGGAAGTAACAACCAGCATCGCTGTAGGTTTGTAACAGGGAATCCATAAGTCTTCTCAGGAGACAGGACAATTAAGTGGGGCCTTGAAAGATGAGTGAAAATTCGCCAAGAGAAAGGGTGTGAGGAGCTCAGACAAGCCAAGCTCAGTGGGTAGCACAGGTCAGTTTTCAGCATTTGGGAGGCAGTTGATAGGTGGGGAGAGGCAAGAGATGCTGCGAAGGGGGGAGGTGCTGGCTACGGGCTGAAGGGCATTGAGGCCTGGGGGTCCTGATTTCCTATTTAAGGCCCCAGGTATACATAAATTTTCAAAAAACAGAAGCAAAACCTTGCCAATGGAATAAGACACTGGGAATAAAGAGTTATTACCCCTCAGCGATAGGAGCTCACAATATTAACAAAGATAATGACAGCTCACATGTGAATATCATCACAAATCTCAAAATAAAACTTTCAAGCCAACTAATTTATCCCTAATATCAGTCCTGAAAGTTAGATAACATTATCTCACTTGTAAAGAAGGAAAAAGCAAGGCCCCAAGTCATGCAGAGCAGATTCGTCCCCTGCAAGTCCAGGGCTGTTTGTTGGTCAGGGCACACCTCTTTGGATGATCTGTTGGAGGGGAGCTTACAAACTGAATCTGGATTTCTGTCCCTGGTGAAAGTCTGTACTAGCTACACTCTGTGTCTCATCTAACTGAGATTGTAAAATTTTGAGACTTAGCAGCAGGCAGGCTGGCTGCCTCGTGGGGTTGCCGGTCTGAGCCGTGGGTGGTCAGGAATGTTTCAGGACTTCCTGGGCCCAGTGTTCCAGGTCGGAGTGTCTGGATTAATGATCCATCTCCAGACAGAGGGAGCCGAGGCCCTGACGCCAGGCACAGGGCATCGATTAGACTTTACACTCTGAGCTTGCTTTCATCTGAGGCTCTCCGGGTGGGCTAGGGCCTAATAATTAACATTCTCTGAGCCCCACAACATGAGTGAGCATGAGAAAGGGAGAAAGAGTCCCTGAGCAGGTCCCCATAAGTAGTGGAAGTGCCCCGCCATCCCTCTAAAAAAGCCTGGGACTGGCTGCTCGGCAAACAACCACATTTCCCCAGCTGACACTTCAGTCCTGCCTGGAGTTTATGTAGTAAGTGGTTTGGGTCTCATCTTTGATTTTCACAACATTTCTATGAGAAACTACTACTAGGATTACTATCTTTGCTGTACACATGGAGAAACTGAGGCCCAGAGAAGGTCAAGGGATCACCCAAGGGCAGAGGGATCAGGATGAGAACTCTGCTTCCCTGCCTGGCACCTTTCTAATGAAGGCTGTCTCTTGCAGGGATGTATAGGTTCAGATCCCCCTGGCAACTCAAGATGAGGGGAGGTAGGAAGGTGATATGATTTTCCATTTTACAAGAGAAAACATTACAGAGGTGCCCTGTTATTCATTCATGCATTGGTTCACTAAATACTTACTTACTAGTATGTTCTAGCCTCAGTGCCAGGTGTTAAGGGGAGCAAAAAATAGTACCTCTCATTGAGGAGCTTATAGCTAGGTGAAAAGGGGCAGCGGGCAATGGGGCATGAGAGGGGTTGATATGCAAATACTAAGTTCACTAAGGTGCCATGGCCCTTTGCTAGTAAATCTATTTAATAGTACAGAGCACTGTATTTTTTGTTTTGTTTTGTTTTAATATTTTATTGATTATGCTATTGTAGTTATCCTGATTTTTCCCCTTATCCCCCTTCCACCTAGAAACTCCCCATTCCCTCAGGCAGTCCCCCACACCATTGTTCATGTCCATGGGTCATGTGTATAAATTCTTTGGCTACTCTATTTTCTATGCTGCATTTTATATCCCCATGGCTATTCTGTGACTACTTGTGTATACTTCTTAATCCCCTCACTTTTTCACCCATTCCCCCACACCACCCTCCCATCATTCAGAACACTCTCCAAATCCATGATTCTGACTCTGTTCTTCTTGTTTGCTTAGCTTGTTTTTTAGATTCAAGTGTTGATAGATATGTGTTTTTTTACCATTTTATTGTTCATAGTTTTGATATTCTTTTTCTTAAATAAGTCCCTTTAACATTTCATATAATAATGGTTTGGCAATGATGAATTCCTTTATCTAGTTTTCTCTTGTTTGGGAAGCTCTCTATCTGCCCTTAGATTCTAAATGATAGCTTTGCTGGGTAGGACAATCTTGACTATAGGTCCCTGCTGTTCATGACTTTGAATACTTCCTGCTAGTCCCTTCTGGTTTGCAAAGTTTCTTTTGAGAAATCAGCTGACAGTCTTATGGGACTCCTCTGTAGGTAACTAACTGCTTTTCTCTTGCTGCTTTTCAGATTCTCTCTTTAACTTTAACCTTTGGCATTTTAATTATGATGTGTCTAGGAGTGGGCTTCTTTGCATCATCTTGTTTGTATTCTTTGTGTTTTTCAGACTTGCATGTCTATTTTCTTCACCAAATTAGAGAAGTTTTCTTTCATTATTTTATTAATACATTTCCAATTTCTTGTTCTTTCTCTTCTCTGTATGGCATCTGTGTAATGCAGATGTCGGACCTCTTGAAGTTGTCTCAGAAGCTGCTTATACTATCCTCATTTTTTTGGATTCCTTTTTCTTCTTGTTTTGATTGGTTGCTTTTTGCTTCCTTATGTTCTAAATCATTGATTTGGTTCTTGGCTTCATCAAGTGTACTGTTGTTTCCCTATAAGTTGCTCTTTATTTCAGCTAGTGAATCCTTCATTTCTGACTGGGTCTTCTTTATGCTGCTGAGGTCCTTACTAAGTATCCTCACTAAGGATAATAAGTTCCTTGAGTATCCTTATAAACAGTGTTTTGAACTCTGCATCTGATAGATTGCTTATTTCCATTTCACTTAGCTGTTTTTCTGGAGTTTTGATCTGTTTTTTTTTCATTTGGACCATGTCTCTTTGTCTCCTTGTTTTGGCAGCCTCCCTGTGCTTGTTTCTATGTATTAGGTAGAGCTGCTTTGACTCCATGTCTTGGTTGTGTGGCCTAATGTAGTGGGCATCCTGTAGGTTCCAGTGGCATAGCCTCCCCTATCACCCAAGGTGGCTGGGTACTTGAGGTACACCCTTTGTATGAGCTAAACACACCCTCCGCTTGTACTTGAGTCTTGATTGCTACTGGTAGATCAATGGAAGGGATTTACCCAGGCCAGTCAGCTGCAAGGATTGGCTGTGACCACTGACCACTAACCTCCTCCTTCCTTGGAAGATCAGCTGTGCCAAGAGTAGGGTGGTGGTGCTCCCAGGTGGCCTGTACTTGTCCACTGGGTGTGCTGGCCCTGGGGTTTCCCAGATAGTGCAGGCCAAGATCAGCCCTCATCTGTGTTTTTCCCAGGGCCACCAGTACAGAGCACTCTGGGCACAAGGTTCTAGGGAGGGCATTACCAAGTCCATCTAGGGCAGTGAAGTACAGGCAGGAGTGGAGATGTGATCAGAAAAGGCTTCAGCAGGGAGATAACTAAAAAATGAAATCTTAAAGGAGGGCTAGGTGTCAATCAGGCAAATGTGAGGTAGAGGGAAGGTGTGTGAGGGTGGGATCAACCCCAGAGAAGGAAAGAGTTGATCCAGACAAAGAGGGAGAGAGGCATGAAATAACTCAGTTAACCAAGAGCAATGGAGTTGGCTGCAGAGTAGGGTTTGTGTAACAAACAGACTGTAGTAGATGAATTTAGAGAAATCAACACAGAACAGATCAAAAAGTCCTCCTAAGCCAAAGTGAGGGCAGGGGCTGACCTTTATTGTGAAGGATTCAAGCAAGGAGGCAACATGGTCAGAACTGTATTTTTGGAGGCTCCCTCCTGCTGTGGTGTTGAGGATGTACTGAAGACGAGAGATTAAAGTAGACACATCTGGGGGACAAAAGTAATGGTAACCTGCTTTGATGGGTTTGTGGCCACAAAGGACACCAAAAACTCTAGTCTGGTCTGGAAAAGCCTATGTCCTGGGAACTTTCTCATATGAAAATATACTCCCCAGAGTTGTAAACTTATGCCCAAGTTAATTGGTCTGGACCCATTCCACACTGCTCTGGTCTGAGAAAAACCACAGTGTTTCTTTCTCTCTTCATATGGATTCCCCATACCCTTTACTCACTTCTGCAGGTACACATTTTCTCATAGTGGCTTCCCAACTGTCCAAACACTGCCACCAACACATGGTGGTAAATCACCACAACTTCATAGCCCTCTAATTCAGACCTTAGATGATGCCACATTATCTGGTCATTGCCATTTATTCAACATCAGGTATAGATTAAGTATCTAATGTGTGCCAGGCACTGCTAGGCCCTCTGAATGTGTCCTCTGCTCTCGCCTCGATGGACCTTTATGGATAAAATCCAAATTCCTTAACCCAGCATTTCAGGATCTTCTTAGACCTCCCGGCTGACCTTCACAGTCTCATTCTCCCCTCTCTTCCTCCATGCTCTGCACCTGTCACATGGAACCACCTGATGTTCCTTAAATATTCTACATAATTTTTCAAATAATAATATCTTTTTAAATTAAATTCCAATACATATACACTCTAATTCAAATAATACCAAAGGTGGAAGGTAGGAAGTAAAAATTTGTCCTCTATCCCTCTCACTCACTATCTTGCAAATCCTATTCCCCAGATATAAATGCTGTTAACATTTGGGTAAATATCCTTCCAGATTCTTTTAGAAACTTCTTATGCTCTAGCATACGACTTTTCACAAACTTTTTCCTGTCTTCCAAGACTCATTATAATGACTTACTCTTTCCTCCCAAAAGTTCTCCATGGCCCCGTAGAAAAACTTAGGGGTCCAATGCTTATAGTAAACATAGCATTTGCCATCCTACATTGAATCATCTGTTCACATGGTGTGCCTCCATGAATTTGAGTGTGAGAATGTAATTAAAGATGAAAATCTCTATGAGGACAAGACTGACAGTCTTGGTCTCTACTGTATTTCCAGTGCCTTGCACATAGTAGGTGCTCAGTAAGTATCCACAGAGTACATGGTGGATGGATGGATGAGTGTCTGAATGTATGGACTGATAGCAGGTGAGAGCTCCTGCAGCAATGCTCTGCAGGATGCAGGTAAGGATATCCAATTGGCACTCAGTAATGGAAAGGACCCCAGCTGGTCCTTTCCTTCTGGTCCTCACTTCTACCTGCTATGTAGACTTCCGTAATTTCCTCACCCTCAATGATCTTCAATATCCCTACCTGGAACGGAACAGTGGAGCTGAGTAGTTCCACAGAATTCTCCCCAATAGATGCTCCAGAATGCTCAGCTGGCTGTGGCCCAGCACCCCTATTTTACACCTCTGTAATTACTCACCTGCATGCCTTTTATTATAGAGATTGGAGTGGGGGCAGGAGCTCATTAAATAAAGGGCAAGAGGAAATTGCTGGCTTGCCAAAATGACATTGTTGGCATTAACTAGATTAACTTCTGAAATGAAAAGCCCACAAAAGCAAAACCAAAACAGAAAAGGAGCCACAGCTTCCGCTGGGGGCTTCATGGTTCCCTGCTTCAGCCTGCCTGACCCCCAACCCATCTTCCCAATCAATCCTCCCTGGGAAGGTCATAGCAGCCGCTTTCCTGCCTTCACACAGGGCTTCATCTCAGCGACCCCAGAAAAATGGCAGTGGGCACTGAGCCCCAGACCAGGACTTGAGACAGAGCTGCTGCCAAACCCAGTGCTGGTGCCAGCTGATTCTAAGATGCCACACAGAGGCAGCAAGGGACTCAGACTAAGGCACTTGCTCAGCTCTCAGTGTTTACAATCAACAGAAGAGGTAGGCAGATACTAAGGGAGGCAAACCCAGCCCTGCTCACTGGTCAGCCCTGCCTCAAAGGACTAGAAAGGATGGAGCTACCTGTCTGGTCTCACAAGTAGACAACCATTCCTTGTAAACATCCCAGAACATGTGAGGGGGAAAAAAACCCTCCTTCTCAGATGAACCTGGAATCTTCTCTTCCTCTTTACAGAGGGTTGCTAAGGCAAGTCAGAGAACTGAAAAAACTGGAGAAAAAAAACACCATCTAGCCTATGCCTCCTCTAGGCCAGATACTTTATATGTACCGTCTCTCTCATCTTCAAAAGAGTCTGTAGTTACTCTGTTCCTCACTTGATAGACAACCAACTGAGGCTGAAAGAGGCTTACCCACATTCTCACTGCCAGAGACTATCGGAGCTAAGCTTTCCACTGAGGCCTTCCCAGCTCTGAACCTCAGAGTTCTCTCCCCAGACGTCTCTGCCCTCTAGACCCTGCCCTTGCCCATATAAATTTACGGTCTGGTTGTGCTATGGATCCGGTGATGCCATACTAGACTGTTAACATTTGACTAGAAAGTATGAATCTTGTCATTCCTCTGAGCTGCTGGACACCAGAACTATCAAATCAATAGTTCAAGGACAATTTTTTACACCACCTATATTCTTTGTCCCCCTGACCAAGGAGCTTTTGTGATGTCCTACTTCAGAAGAGTAATTAATGATAGAATTCCAGGTACAGGACAGAAGAGATTCTTTTAGGTAGGAGAACATTCCAGTACCCTGCACACCCCATCCAGCTGTATATGAGCCCATACCTGGGCCTGGAGTCCACCCACACTCTCATGGGTCAGTCCTGGTCGGGATGACCAGATGCCAGACTAGGTCACTGGGTATTAATCATTGCCAAGGGGTAGTTAAACTGAAAGCCAGTTCATTAAAGATTAAGCTCCATCTCCGTAGCCCTCAGGGAAAGGGAACTTTGGATAGAGAGCAAGGTCCTGTTCCAGGAGGTTACCTGCTGTGAAAGTCTTCCCAGAGAGCCTACAGTGAGGAGCTAGGGGGCCTGGGTTCTAGTCCTGGCTCTTCTCTCAACCTGCTGGGGGGCTTGAAAGGACACTTCCCCATTCTGAGCTCTTATTCCTCCTTTGATACCAGAAAATATGCCCTTGGTTCTTTGTGGTCCTCTAGCATATGTTCCCCTAAGACCAGTCTACACATGCTTGTTTTTTTTCAGTCTGTGTTAGCTTAGTACATGCAGGTTGTCCAGTGTAAGTTCACGTATAGTTCTTCATGGCAAAGGAAAACTGGCAACCACACAACTCCACCATGGGACCTGGAGCTCCAGGACTCATATCTCTCTTTTTTGCTTCCACTAGCCAGATTTCACCTCTGACCCCAGAATATGCCATTTTTGCAATTTGACAGAATTCCCCACTTGACCAGACAATGTCTGGTACCTCCCTTTGAATCATCCTGTCCCAATAGGATCTACTAAACCAAAGCTTTGCACAAGACCTTCATAAATTTTGATCCAATGCCAAAGCAATTCCACAATATTATAATGGCCAGTTGATACACATATACTTAATCATTTTGTACCCTATGCAACACAGTGTGACGAAGCTGGGGCTCCAGGCGTAGTTCTAAGTGGAAATGCCGCCATACACATCCTGCTTTACAACCAGAGATTTCTACTAAGGGGGGACATCTGAAGACAATAGTAGTGAACAATAGTACATTTTTTAATACTAGGGTAATAAGTGGGATTGGCAACTAATTCTTTTTCTGCCGCTCTTAAACAGGCTCTTCAAGAAATAAAACTAACCACTTTTCTGTCCATAGGTGGCAGCACTGATCCCTTTCACCCCTCAAGAGGAACCATGATTTTCACTGGAGAACAAGTGAGGCAAAGAACAGGGTAACGCAAGGATAAAATAAGAGAAACTGGCTTCAGAACACATAGCCTCACACATTGCAGATGTGGGCACATCTGGTGAATTTACAAACTTCCCAAAGCCTCACTCCACTTGTAAAATAGCCTCTTCAGAACTCTAGCAAGATACCCCAGATCACCAATAACTTTCTAAAGAACCATTGCAAAGAGTCCATAAAACTCTAGGGAGACTCCTCCAGAATTCCACCAGGGTCAACAGAACCCTCAGTGGAAAGCCCTCAAGTGGGAGAACAGCAGATAGACAGCCAGCAGGCAACACATTGGCCCCCTAAGCCTGTCTGCATGAGCCCTGAGGGCCTTAATCTTGGGGTTGCTTTCACCATGCATTGCCCAAATTTCATATTTTTTGAGTGCACACTATGTGCCAGGAAGGTTGTTAAGCACATTGCAGGTACTGTGTCATTTACTCCTCACAGGAGTGACAGGCCCTTCTACAACCCACTTTACCAAGAGAAAATAGTGGATCCAAGAGATTAACTTCCCAGAATATCCAATCACCACCTTGTTATCCAAATGGGGAAACTGAAGTGAGAGGAAGAGTCATGTTCAATGGCAAGTGGCACAATAGTGACAGAGCAGGACGAGGACCCTGCGCACACCTTCCATGAGGAGCTCGCCAAAGCAGTGTGACAGTGCAGGACTGACATGGGGTTGTGGGGGCAGAAACGGGGCCCTAGCTCAGGACACATTGCACACTTTCTCTGACCTCAGGAACTTCTCAGCCCTAATGCCGGCTCAGCCCTGAACAATGTGTGGCCTCAGGCAAGTTTCTTCACCTTTCTGAGCACGTATGCACTCCCCCAAATGGATAAAGAGTATCTAACAAGATAGTGGCAAGGAAAAAAAGGCTTTTAGAAAGTATAAAAGCTCTCTTGGAGGTATTATTATTAATTATTATTATTATCACCATTATCTTTCATGGTTATTAATGACCTGTTACCTGTGAGGGATCTGTCATCCAGGAATTTCTTTAAGCCCTTCTCGAACCTGTTTATATTTCCAGTCAGCAGAACCTCCCTTGCTTTTGATCTTCTGCTCCCAGCCCAGGGAGCTGCAGGCACACTCCCCTGCCTAGCAGCCTGAGTTTAAAGGGCCTTTCTCAGTCTCTTTTGTGGGTCCGATCATGGCCAATTGAATTCAGTGCAAAATAGCCTCACTTCCTCCTGCAAAACCCATTTGTATTCCCAGGTCTGTGTTAAGGACCTCAAGAGGAAGGGAAGAGGAAAATTGAGGCTCTGCCTTCTCAAATTGTGCCTTTCAACCCCAGAAGCCCCAAGTAGGGTGGGGACATAGGACTCCCTCTTAAATGCCTGCATCGGCTGAGAATAAGGTCCACACCTCACAGTCCCAGAGACCATACAAGAACCAGAGCAAAAATTGCTCTCAAAACCCATTTTCCTCTTCATACCAGGAGGTATGAAGGACTGGGCACCCTTTCTCAAAGACTGCATAAGCTAAAGAACAAAGTGAGCTCAGCCAACTTTGACACCTACTCTGGGATGAGCTCTGCAGATTCCAAGTTGAATTAGACATGGTAGGGTCCTGCCCTCAAGAAGTTCACAGTTTGATAGGTGAGACCAAGGCATGAACAATCATCTTGGAGGGCAAGATTAGCTAAAAGTCTGAATAGAAGAGTCAAGAAAAGCAGTTTAGAGGATGGCCTAACTAGACTTTCCTGAGACAATTAGGAAAGCCTTAACTACAAAGGGATATTTGAACTGGGTGCTAAAGGATGCATAGGAGTTTGCCAGGTAACTGAGGAGCAAAGAGAGGAATTTCTAGAGCAGAGACAGCATGAACACAGTGCTCAGCCAACAGAGATGGACTTCTCAGAAGACTCGGGGGTCCACTGGGGTGAGAACTACTGGGTGCATACTTCTTCCTGTCACTGAGACTGACAACTGACCTTCTTTCCTGACCTTCGGAAGAGAGCCCTGTTGGCAATTGAGCTTTGGGCCCCAAAGGAGAGCTCTCCGTCTTCCCTTTGGAAAAGACTTTGAATTCCTTGGGAAGAATGCAGAAATTGGGCATCAATATCACCCCAACCCAAAGCCAGCATTGAATTTTTACCAATGCTATGGGTCACAGAACATCCCAGTTGAGGATGGCTTGTCAAACATGTCCCACCCCTTTCCCTTACCTACCCCTTTACTGCAGATGAGGAAACTGGAGAGAGAAGCCCTTTCCTCACCAGCAGGGAAGAGGGGTGTGAGTGGAACCCAGGCCTCTGGCTTCCCCTCTTCCCTCTGCTCATGAAATGGGGTAAAACTCACCCAATTCAACTGGAGGAAAGCTCCAGGCAAATTGGAGGTGATTATAACAGTAGCAAATTATACTCCATGAGCTAATTAGGAAGGGATTGGGGCCCTCAGCCTTAATTAATATCTAGTCCCTAACAACTTAATCCTGGGTGAGATCATAGCAGGGATCTCCCTCAAATGCCGACATTCTTTCCTCAAACAAATCACCTATATAAATACATATATTTTAATAGCAACAATTATAAAGTTCTCTGCCAACTTATGGGGCTGTTTAACATTCCTGGGTTGAAGCCACAGTATTTTTCCCCCAGTCTCCTCCCTTCTCACAACCAAAGCCTAATGAATAGTAACTCTTTTGTGGCTCTGCGTCCTATTTAACCAATATCTCCTACCCAATGGGTCTTCACAGGGAGTTAATAAGCAGTCTGGGAGCACTGCCTGAGGAGGTCCACAAACCTAATCATTAACTGCAAGGCCTAATCAGCATCTGCTTCCCACCCAGGGGCCCCCACAGCTACACAGCCCTGGTCCCCCCAGTAATGGATGGAAAATCGGCGATTTCCTGACAGTTAGCAACCAATTTTCCACCAATTAGAAGAGAGATGGTGGTCTCTGGAGGAAGCTGGATGGCTCCACTGCACAAAGCTGGGAGGAAGAGCGATCCTGGAAGCACCAAGGGCCAAAACCTGGGGAGGTAAGGGGGTGGGGACTGGGATCCCCTCCCCCATCCCTCTCCCCCCCACCCCTGGCTCTGCTCTACCCAGGTTAGCCTGTATCAGTGGAAGGTGACTTCAGGGCACAGAGGCGGCACTAGCCCTTCCACTGGAGTTCTCCTCCCTCAGTGACCCTGACACACAATAAACCTGCCACTCTGTCCTGCAGGGCCAGCGGACATGGGCTCCTGCTGGTGACTCTCTGTGCCCAGGACCATTCAGAAATTCCTCCAAGGCAATCAGTGTGGAGGCTTAATGTGCTTGAGCTCTGGAGTTGGACAGTTGGGCCTCAAAATCTTGAATTTATGTTTTTTCAGTGTCTGTGACCTTGGGCAAAACATGTCAGTTTCCTGGGCCTCAGTTTTCTCATTTGTAAAATGGGGTGAGTCAGAGCACCTACCTGGTAGGATAGTTATGAGGATTAAATGAGATAGTGTGGGCAAAGCACATTATATCACACAATGTATTGTTCCATAAATAGGTGTTTTTATTATTCTTACTATTACTGTTTTCATAATGGCTGTTATTAATCAATATTAATAACAATGTTGTCAGGCATGTGCTCAGTACTATGAGAACCACCACCTTAGACATCTTTGGACATTTAAACTTGGAGTTTGCTGGCCCTGCCTCTCATCTCTCTCCTGGATTAGAGCCACAGTCACCTCCCACCTGGTCTCGCACCTCAGTTCAGCCCCTACACCTGGGCCCAAGTGATCTTCCTAAAATACAGATTTGACTCTGCCCCCACCACTGGCTGGAATAAGACCCCGCAGTAGCTTTTATAGCACAAACTTCTTACCTGTGCCTCCTAAGGCCTGAGCCATCTCTTCCCTGCAAACTCCTCAGCTTCATGTCTGAGCATTCCTGGCCCTATTTCTTATCATCCTAAAATGGAACTTTTCTTCAATGGCCAGTCCTTTAGCATTAGACCCACCTCTCAGGATGAATGTGAGGATTCAGTGACATTAAAAAAAAGAGGAAAGATACCACCTCACTCCCATTAGAATGGCTGTCATCAACAAGACAAGTAATAAGAAGTGTTACAGAGGCTGTGGAGAAAAGGGAACCCTCATTCCCTGCTGGTGAGAATGTAGACTGGTACAGCCACTATGGAAAACAGTCTGGTGGTTCCACAGAAAATTAAGAATAGTTACCATATGACCCAGCAATCCTTCTCCTGGGTACCTACCTGAAAAACTCAGAAACATGTGTTCACAAAGATACATGCACTCTGTGCTCACTGCAGCATTATTCTGTGGCCAAGACACGGAGACAACCAAAGTGTCTATGACAGAGGACTGGATGAAGAAGATGTGGTCCATATACCCAGTAGAATACTACTCAGCCATAAGAAAAGTAGAAACACTGCCATTTGTGACACCATGGATGGACCTCAGAATATTACCCTGAGTGAAATAAGCCAGTCAGCAAAAGCTAAGAACCATATCATTTCACTCATATGTAAGATATAAAACTGAAGCTCATGGACACAGACAGCAATGTGGTGGTTGCCAGAGGGAAGGGAGTGGGGACTGAAGGGCGGCCTAGTATGTGGTGATGGAAGATGGTCAGACTTTGGGTGGTGGGCACACGTACAATATATAGGTCTAGTATCATAGAAATTACACTTGAAACCTGTGTGATTCTGTTAACCAACATCATCCCAATACCTTTAATAGAAAAGTTTGTAAAGAAAGAGCTTTTTGCACATAGTCGATACACAGGAAGCGTGGCTCTCCTTGGTTTCAGGCTCCAGCACAATGCCAAAAAGAGGAATCATAATGTCGCTGACAGACTTTTGAGTCATAAAAGAGACAAAGTCACCCTCAACCTTACTTTAGCATTTCCTGGACTGGATTGTACTCTAAATTCTCCGATAATTGGCCATTCTCATCTGGTAATTGTAACTGAATCAGACACCATGTCTCCTTCCTTGGGGAGCTCAGTCTGTGGGGAAGAAAATAACAAGTGGATATTTAATGAGTACTTACTCTATGCCAGGCACTCTGCTGAGAAACTTTACATGGATTATCTCATGAGATTGTCTAATTTGATCTTCATAAGAGCTTCAGGAGTAAGATGAACATATAATTTATCAGATAAACCAAGACACTTCTGGGAGTGTAAGGGGGCACTATTAGTAATCACATGGGGGCAGTAGGCATAGACCTGGCTGTCCCAGGCACAGAAGGACAGATGGGTGCCCTGTCTCAGAGGCACATAACCTTATTTTAGAAACAAGGAAGCGAGGCAGGCAACATCCAGACAATTAAGAGGCTGTGGGAACCTGGAGGAAGGTCAAGGACTATACCTACATTGACATACCTTTTGAGAGCAGAGTTCAATCCAGGATCTCTGGCTCCAATCCCAAGCACACAAATAGTTGATGCAGGTGAAATAGAAGGTTTCCTAGGAGAAGAAGAAAGGGACATGACTCCAGGCTGGAAGCTGAAAAAGGAAGAGGGGGCAGCGAAGGTGAAGAACTGCCAGCCAGAGGCACTTGAGCTGAAGGCAGTGGGCATTCCAAGGCAGATTGGAAAGGCGCCCAGGGGAGAACATAGAGGAGGGAATGGGTGGAGGTAGAGGGGAGGTGCTTGAAGAATGGCAAAGAACTGGAGTCTAGGTAGCAGTGCAGGTGATGGGGAGCTAAGTTAGAGACAGGGCTATTGACATAGAGCAGGATGATCCCAGAGGCTGCAGGAAATAGGGAAGAAAGAATGGTTGCTTGGGTTCAGCTAGTCTCCTTCATACACTTGGTGCCCCATCCTCTGTCGTGGGACACATTACCCTGCAGTCCTCTATAAGCTTCAGATTCTCTCCTTTCCCAAGCATACCTTTCATTCACCTGCCTCTTCCAAGGCAGGTTAGAATGCCCTGGGCCTCAAGTCCTTCTCAGAGAAGTAAATGCCCCCACTTCCTTGGACTAATGTTTTGAGTTCTCCATATTTGAGCAAGATGGGGTAGTAACCTGGCCACGGCCACTTGGCAGGGCTGGAGCTCAAATAGCATCTACTTCTCTTAGTCTTTACTTGTTTCTCAGACCCCCCAGTGCCCACCTCTGCTCTCCACCACTGCCTGTCTTACCCATCTGAGCTTCCAGCTCCTATTCTACAGGACTCAACAGCCATAATGTTGCTTTCACAAGGTGCCTAAGACAGGAGGCACATGGTAGGGTCCAGAGTGGCTGATTTGGCACCTCGGGCAGCCCCTCAATTCCAAGTTCTGGAATTAAGAGGAAGGTTATCTCATGTCCATCCTGAAGAGACTCCAAGGTAAAGATTCCAACCTGCAGGCTTAGGTCTGAGGAGGTAACACTATTGCTGGAACAAGAGGAGCCCCATACCCACAAAGGCCAGGCTTGAGGAGCACCTTGGCCTGCCCCTGCCTCCCACACCTTTTCCAGCTGCACAGGCAGCTCAGTGTCCACACAGCTCTGCCTTCCTCAGTGCTTGGAGATCCCTGTGCCAGGCTGTCTGGTCCCACTCACCCTGAGTACAAGCTCAGGGCTTGCTGCTAGCAGTGACAATACATGTGGTTGATGGCAACTCTGCTCACCTTCTGAGCCACCTCCACAGCTTTGCCAGAGGGATGTATAATAAATCTAATCATGTCACTCAATAGCTTCCCATCACCAACAAGAAAAATGTTTGAGCATCTTCACATACAGCCCAGGGGCCCTCCAGACCCAGGCCCTGCCCACCTCTGCAAATTTACCTCCCTCCAGTCTCCCCACAATCGCCCAAGCACCTTCATTCAATCACTTATTCATTTAGCAAATATGTGTTAACGGCCTTCATTTTAAGCTTTTTGCAGGTACTAAGAATCATTTCTTTAAAAGATTCTAACACCTAATGCAATGTGTGTAGGGGCTGAGGGGAGGGGGTCCCACAGCACCAGGCAATTCTCTGATACTAGCTAGTGTCCTAAAACGCAACTCAGTTCTGATACCATCTACCTGGAGATAGACTCAGATTCCACAGACTAAGGGCTCAGTCCCACAAGACTGTGCTCCCTACCCTGTGCTTCTGACCCAGTGGCTATAAATCAGAGGTTCCCACAACCCACTCCTTGGGTTTAATTAATTTGCTAAAGTGGAAACCTGTTTACTCACTAGATTACCAGTTTATTACAAAGGATATTAAAGGATGTGAAAACAACCAGCTGAAGAGATGCTTAGGGCAAGGCATGGGGAAGGGGCATGGAGCTTCAGTGCCCTCTCCAGGTGCATGGCTCTCCCAGCACTTCCACGTGCTCACCAACCTGGAAGATCCCCAAACCCCATCCTTTTGGGTTTTTATGGAGGCTTCACAATATAAGCATGAGTGATGAAATCATTGGCTATTGGTGATGATTCAACCTCCAGCCCCTCTCTCTTCCAGGGAAATCAGGCGGTGGGACTGGAAGTACCAATCCTCCATTCTTGGTCTGTACCCCCATCACCCAGCCCCCATCCTAAGGGCTTTCCAAAAGGCAAATCCTTACCATTAGTGTTGTGGTGGGAAGGAGCTTGTTATGAGTAACAAGACTTCCATTTCACCTTTATGTCTCTGAATTGATTACAGGAACTGAGAACAAGTGACCCACACGTTATAATGAAGGATGCTCCCATTGCTCTTTATCACCCAGGAAATTCCAAGAGTTTTGGGAGCTGTGAGCCAGGAACTGTGATCACCAAATGTGTATTTCTTACAAATCACATCACTGCATTCCCATTCTCCAACATCCCCATGTTGTGTGGGCCTCCCCTCCCGGCCTCTCCTACCCAATATGGTCCTGTTCATCCTCTAGGATGCAGAGCTGGAGCCCGAATGCCCACCTTCCTCCAGGTTCCCACAGCCTCTCAATCTTCTGTTTGGATGTTTCCTGCACAAGACTAGAGTTGCTCAAGAAAAGGGTTTGCATTTGAGTTAGTTCTGTGCCTCTCGCTGCGAAGTACATTTGTTGCCCTTTCCAGTTTCTATATCCCGGGACCTACCTTTTTTATTTCATCACCCACTCCACTTCCTTGCCTGCTGCTAGACCTTAGGACACTTGTGTGTGCATCATAAAAAGGAACCTCCTCTGATTGGATGTAATCCCATGTCACGTGTATGTCCTGTGAGCAGAGCACAGGCTGGATCTTGACCCTAACTTGCCCCTCAGCCAGGCACTCTTGTGCAGAGTGCACCCACACAGTCATATGAATCCTTCTCACCCCCTACCAAGATGCCTAGCCAGTGATATTTTCAACTCTCGGTTGCATCAGCATCAGGGGCGAATGGGCCTCATGCCTACAGACTGTTTGCTTCTTCTAAAAGGAAATGAATGTGGAACATTATGAACCGATCATGGGAATTGTGGGTGTTCTGCACACCAGTCAGAAGGTCCTGCTGCAGGTGTGTGACTTCAGTGGATGCCGCACATGGCGAGGGCTGTGCCAGCCTCCCATCGGAAGCACTTTCAACCATCTTGCTTCCTTTCTTCTCCCTCTTTAGTCATTGAGTTCTTAACTTCTGAGATCCAGCCCCAAAGCTCCCTTCCCAATTTTTTTACATATTTGTACACACAAAGTTGTGCATGCACACACACACACATACACACGTGCTCAATCCCATCATTATTCAATGAAATGGGCTCTAGGAGTTGAGATTCAGAGAAGCTGAAAGAGCCAGAAAGAGCATGGTTCTGGATCGAGTTAAAAGACAGGGGAGGGTGACTGAAGTCCTTCTGAGCCCTGCCATGGTCAGGCTCACCCTATGTTCACCCTGGGATTTTAGGTATCACTTGATTAGACGAAGGTAGCCCACCAGTGACACAATAGAAAGCCTTGTTCTGAGAGAAAGCAGCTTGAAGAGCAGAGAGTGGGTAGACCCACGTAGGGAGAGACCCCCTCTCTCCTGACCTCTCAGGGCTCTTACGGGAAGAGGAAGCAGACACACTCTGGTGACCCAGAGAGAAGAGCCAGGACAGGACCAATGGGGGCTGACGAAGTGGGCAGATCTGTACTCAGCGTTAACCCCCTAGGAGGCTACCGTCCAAGGTACTGGACTCATAGTCATGGAGATATGGGAGCAGACACTGGATGGTCAGTGTCAGTTTCACCTTGAAGGCCTCAGGGCATGAATATCATTTCGTTACATAGTCTAGGATTCTGTGGATCTAACATTCCACATGCTCATTGTTATTTCATTCCATTAGTATACAGGTGGCAAACACAAGGCCCAGGGGTCAAATCCAGCCCTCCACCTTGTTTTATCCGGGCCGGCACCTTGCTTCTACCCAGCATCAACACTGAGCTCTCGCTTAACTGTTAAGGAGTAGTTACATTTATACAGTCCTAAAATGACATCCAACTCTTTGAAAGCAACCGTGAAGCTGATGTGGCCCCTGGTGAAAATGAGTTTGACCCCCTTGCGTTATTAGTACACGATCTTAAGATTTCTTAAAGTCAGTGAAGGGAAAAAAATCTAAGATTTTATTATTCCCAGACTCTGGAACCTGAGAAACTTAGACTTATAAGGTTACCTATGAGACATGGTCATTTGTGTAGATTTCTTTTAAAGATGTGGTGAGCACATGCTTCGCACCAGCTACTCTCTTAGGCACTTTACATGTATTATTTAATTCAGCAGTGCATAATTTACAGGTGCATTATGTTATGTGCTGTCATTATCCCTATTTTTCAGATGAGAAACTAAGGCCGGAGAGGCTGAATGATTTACCTTAGGTCACACAGGTGGTATGCAGTGGTCCCACTGAAGCCTAGAGTCAGTATTCTTAGCCATGTCCTGGTGCCTCCCTGTTTTATAAAAGGCATATATCCAGGTAGATGGAGATGCACTGTCCCAGCGCTGAGTTATGGGTCCTTCTGGATTCCTGCTCAGCCCAACTCCACCTCGGGCTGGGGGAGCTGTGCCTCTCCCTTCCTCCTCCCACCTTTTCAGGGAGTGTTCCCTCCACGATCTCAGGTCTTGAATTCCCCAGGCAAAGCCAGCCATGTTCTACGGGCTGGGGTCCAAGTTTACTTAAGAAGAGGAAAATGTTATTATGGAAATTACAACAGCATTAAGAAACAGAGCGTCGCTGTATCAATCCAGGACCACAAGAATGCTCATCAATTTAATAGCTTCCTGTTGGAAACCTTGTGAGCTACGCCTGAAGCTGGCAGGCATCAGGGCACGGGAGTGAGGCCAAGCAACTGGGTGACATTGTGCCCCCACCCTCTGCCCTTGGGGTGAGTAGTGGAGCCCACTGAGGGGACTACAGGCAACCCCTCCCTGAATCTTCATGCCCAACAACCCCAAACAAGACAGCAGTTCAGTTTCCTGTTCTCAAAAGAGGAGCCATGGTTGGGGGGTGTGGGGGGCGCACACGTGTGAGCATGTGCATGTCTCTGGTGGTGCTCAGGGGAGAGGGCTGGGGCCCCTCCTCCCGCCCACCCCATTCCACACCCTCAGCCTAACTCAAGTACAAACACGGTTGATGGTCCTGAGACCTTCTCCCCAGAGCCAATGAGGAGGGTCTGAATCTAAGTCCCTGATCAGGAGAGGACTTTAGGGAAGCAGCTCCTGTCTTTACCTCCTAAAACTAAGGAGAGAGAAAGCCAGGCTTTAACTCTTTCTCTCTCTTTCTTTTTTAAGAAAGAAGAAAAGAAAACCATTAAAATGAAATTCCTGGAGCTGGGAGCAGCCAGGAGTCTGGCACGTGTCTCCTCCTGGGTAATTATCTGGCATTTAGCACCCCTCTTCCCAGCACTTGTAATTAGCAGGGAAATTAAGATGCTGTCATTCTACCTCCCAGGCTCTCTCTGCTACACCCAGAGGCCTGGGGACAGGGCCACTGGGGTGGGGGAGGGGAATCATTGCGGCAAGACTTGAGACTAGACATCAGGAAGGGACATTTGACAGAGAGAAGCGGAGGGTCCTCCGGGGAGCACTTTGACGTCTCTGGCCCCAGCCATCTCTCCTCTCTCTGAGTTCCTGGAGTACGTGCATGCTGGGCCACACCCCGTGCCATGGGATGATATCTTGGCTTTGATGAAGCAGCTGTGTCCCAGTGGAGTCTCGCTGCATTCACCAAAGTAGTCACAGAGGCCTCTTGGGCACCTGCCTCTGGGCTGGACCCTGGAGACAGAGGAACCTGGAATTGCAGGTGCTGCTCAGGGGAAAAAAAAGGGGGTCATTCAGAGGTATAAACATAATACAATGTTGAAAGTGATAAGAGCTGAGGGAGATGGGACCAGCTACAAAATCTGGAGGGGTGTAGTGAAAAATAAAAATTATTGGTATTATGAATAATTTCAAGACAGTAACAGCAGAAGATGAAACCAACTGTGGAACTCCAAAGGGCGGGGCCCCGTGTGACCACACAGGCTGCACACGCACGGAGCCAGCCCTGAGAGGTGCTGCCTACTCACTCTGGAGGGAGGGCAGGTAGGTCTCGAAGCTTCAGGAAGAATTCTTGGAGGAAGCAGCATTTGAATTGGGCTCAGTGCTGTCGAACAGATAAAGTTCCCATTGCCAATCTGGCCAGCTTTCTAATCAGCCAGGACCCTACTCTATGCTCCCTCTTCCAAGAAGCCTTCCCTACTAACCCCAGGGAACCCTCTGGACTCTCACAGCCCTACTCCTCCACACCCTCAACCCTCTGCTTCTCTAGAACACCTATTTCACTCTATTACATACAACCTGCTTAAGAGGCTGCCTCTCCCACAAGCCTGTGTGCTCCCCAAGGACAAGATCTGTGTCTCATTCCTGTCCACATTCTTCATACTCCATGGAAGGCCTGGACAAGGCAGGACTTCAATAGTGGTTGACTGATTGAGGAATGAACACCCCAGAGGGAGCTGCTTGGGCAAAGGCCTTCTTTGAGTGGGTTTGGGGAACACAAGGGTGATTCTGTGCCTGTGAGGCTAAAATGTGAAATAGGATTGGATGAGGAAGACCCTAAATGGCAAGCCGAGCACAGGATGCTCTCTAGGAATGTTTGAGCTTTTACAGATTGATCCGGCTGCTTTGTAAGGATGGATTGAGTGGAGGGTGGAGGTGCTGGAGAAGCAGCAGTCAATCTGGCAGGGAGAGCAATTGGAAAGCTGTGACTGCGAGGAAACAAAGGCTAGGGTGTCCTGGACCAGACGGCAGTCACGCGATTGGAAATAGAGAAAGAGCTGGATGTGAGCTTTGAAGCCCCAACCACTCTGGTGGCAGCAACACCAGGTCACCAGCCAGCTATTCCAATTATTCATAGAAATCAATCTCATTCATGGAGGCTCAGATAAAACTCGTGTGCAGTAATGGATGGGGAGCTTAAAGCAAGGAGATAAGAGGAGGCCCAGAGTGCAGGGTGATCAGGTGGGGCTTTGCAGAAGGGGGAGGCATGGTAAGAGGTTATCAAAACATCCCTCAAATAGCAAAGGCTCAGAGCCAGTCTGCCAAGCTGTGACTGTGAAGGGACACACGGGCTCATCCCCAGGCCTGGGGAGACCTAGACATAGGGCTCCTTGGGTATTATTCTGAACAGCAGGGTAAACTGATCAGTCCTGCTGCCCTAAGACTTATGTTGGAAGTCTAATACTTTCTCCTGGGTGGGGAGCAAGGCACGAGGGCATGGATCAGGAAGATGCCCTTTGAAAAGGCCCTTTTCCACCCTGCCCTTCTGGGATCCTGAGTCCATGAATCACCACAGTGGCATTTTCTCTGTAGGATCAGGGAAAGGAGAGTCTATTCTTAGCACTGGGCAGATGATGTAGGAGACAGAGGGGTGTTGCCTACTCACTCTGAGCTGGGCCAGAAGGGCTGTGTCATCTGCCTCAAACCCCTCCACACATGCTGGAAAGGGACCTACAAAACAGTTCTCCTCCAGCACTGTGACAGTGAATGTGGGAGTGACAGGTTTGCTCAGGGGCAGAGAAAGACAGTGAGAGACACTGGGCCTTCCCAGAGCAGGAGGGACCATGACAGGAGGCTGGAATACCCAGACTGGTGATCAGAGGGTAAATTAGAGTTACACTAATAATAGACACCTGGTTCTCACACAGCACCTGCCCCTGCGCAGGCACTGTCCAGCGTCGTCCTCACTACCCTCATTTTATGGAGGAGGAAACCAAGACCCTGAGTTGAAGTAAACTTTCCCGAAGCCACACAGCTGGAGAAGGAGGAGCTGGCATTTGAACTTGGGTGATCTGGCTGCCTTCTATCACTGCATTGAAATTACTGTCCATTTGCCAAGGGCTTGCTACATACCAGGAACCAATTTCACTTGGCCGCTAGGAGGCGTTGTCATTCCCATTTTACAGATGAAGAAGCTGAGGCTCAAAGAAGAGGAAGAGGCAGAGCTTGGATGTGAACTTGTACCTGTCTCAGGTCTTGCGCACACACTCCACGGGACAGGGGCTGTGCTGAATAGACTTGTAGAAAGCGAGCGATGGGGGATCTCCGAAGGAGGGCAAAACCTGGTGGGCCTACCCCTCCCACCATCCCCAGACAGCTTTCCCTCACAGCTACGGGTGGAGGCAGCCGGAGGTTGGCTGGAGAGGCCCCATCCACTGACACTCAGGGCTGGGAGGAGATAGTGCTTTTTATCTCTGCGGAGAGTTCAAGAGTTTATTCCCACCCGGGGCAGTGGGGAGCCTGGTGCCCATTCTTGGAGGGTGTCCAGTGACAGGACAGATTGGGGGTCACTTCCTCCCCTCCTTCTTCATCACACTCTCCTCCACACTCCACCATCACCAGAGGACAGCAGGAAACATCTTGGATGGAGCCCTCTGACTGGACACTGGCTCTGGAGGAAAGTACTGGCTCGGAGCACAGGGCTGGGTGCTGAGCCGTCCGGGGTGTTGGGGGAAGAGCACAGCTCCGGAGCCAGGCACAGAGGCTGGGATGTGGGCATCACCTTCTGACTCTGACCTCAGACACGGCATTTCCCACCTCTGAGCTTGTTTTCTCCTGTGAACAGCTACGTGATCATCCCTGTCTTGGAGAGTTGTTGTCAGGGTTAAAACAGGAGAGATCATGTATTTTGGTCTCCTGGTTCATAGCCTGACCTATAGCTGGGGCTCTAAGTGGACCCATCCTTTTCCATATGCACCATGTGAATTTGACTCCAGTCAGTGAAGCAAAGTTCACTCCAGTGTCCCAAAGATAGAGCGAATGAGCTCACCCCTCCTCAAAACTCCTCTGTGCTCCCAGGACCTCAGCCTGGCATTCAGGGCCTCCAGGGGTTAGGTGACTACCTGCTCCAGGCTTCTTTTCTGCCTCCAGAGCCCCAGGTTGACTCCTCCCTGAACAAAGCAGGCCGGATCTTGATCTCCCATCACCCTTGAAGACCCAGATCATCTACTGCCTCCTCTCTGAAGCCGCCTCCAGCCTCCTGAGGGAGAATGAATCACTGGCTCCACTGTGCTCCCACAGCCCCGAGCTCATTCTGCTTTGTGTTTCGGGTATAGATTTGTGGCTCTGCCTCCCCAGCACACTGTGGGTTCCTGCAGGGCAGCAGGACGAGCTTCATCTTTTTATAAAATGCCTGGCACAAAATCTGTGCTCAGTGGTTATTGTTTAGTCGATTGGTTAACTTACCAAACAGCATCTCCTGGAATCGGAGCATCTCAGAGCCAGTAGCACCTTAAAGATCACCTAATCCACATGCCCCATTGTCTATCAGGGTGTGTCCAACCTTTTCATGCCTCTGGGCCACACTGGAAGAAAATGAGTTGTGTTGGGCCACACATTAAATACACAAACACTAACAAAATCTGATAAGCAAAAAAAAGGTTTTAAGTAATTTTTGATTTTTGTGTTGGGCCGCATTTGTAGCCGTCCATGGGCCACATCCAGGGCCACATCTACCTAGTAGATGAAGAGGCCTAAAACTAGGGGAGAGTTGGGATGGGGTAGAGAAGGATAGGCCCAAGGTCTCACGATGAGATAATAGCAGAAGACACACCAAAATGCCATCCTCTGTGGCTGAATGAAGTCAGGGCATATTAGTTTCGATTCACAGTTGGGTAGACAAGGACCAGTCAGTCAGTGGCTCTCCATTGCCCTTTGGATAAAGTTGAAATCTCGGCTCCCTAAGTCCTTTCGTGATGAGGTCCCAGACAATCTGTGCACCCTCACCTCCAGATAGTCTGCACACTCAGGTCACACAACACCACTCCAGCACCTGGAATGGGTCCTTCTCTTATACTTCCAGGCCTTACTTGCTTTGCTGTTCTTTCTGCCCAGAACACCCACCCCTTTGCACAGGACACTCACCACTCCTTTCTCTGGCCAAACCCTGCAGTCCTTCTGGTGGAAGCTTAGATGTCACTTCCTCTGAAAAGGCTCCCTTGTTCCCCTCATCTCCTCTTCCTGTGATCCCACCTGTCACTCGAGGCTGCATTTGTCTGTTTTCAAAGCTCTATGTCACAGGCTGTACATCTTGCACCCCTAGTGCCCCGCCTAAAAATATAAATATAAATGAATAAAAGAAAAAATGAACAAATGAATGAAGTGTAAAAACTGGAACTCCAGACCACAGGCAGGGACACTAGTGCTCTCAAGTTAACTTCAGGACCTGTGCCTGGGGACAGGCACTGGGATGAGAGAAAACAATAGCCAGTCTATTGACCTGAGCCTTCTTCTCTTCTCCTTTTTATTTCCTCCTTCTCTGCCCTTCCTCCCCCTCCCCCCGTGACCTTTGTTATTTCTGGCAAACTTTTGAATCACTGAGAAAGCATCTAGGAAGAAGAAAAACCTTGGAAAAATTTAGTCAGCCCCACAGCCTGAGGGCCTTCAAGGCCCAGGCCTCCTGTCCCCTGGCCAGCCTGCCCTGCAAGGCAGAAGGGACTGCTATGCAAAGGCAGGAGGCCAGAGGGAGTGCGGCCCTTCAGGTAACAGTGAAGAATTTGGGGAGCAGAAGGGATGAGCCTAAAAAGTGAGCAGTAGTTTGTAGTAAAAGTCCTGGAATGCCAGGTTAAGTATCTCCAACTTTACCACAAGTTCAGCCCCTTTGCCACATGACAGGCATTCCTCCCTCCCAGTCCTCACCTCGGGGAGCTTATAGTCTGGTGAGAAGAGGAGAAAATAAGAGACACTCAGAGTGCAGGGTGAAGGGGGTGTGATACCAAGGGTACACAGAAGGGCCTCTAACCAGGCCTGCCTGAGAAGGCTTCCCTGGGGACATGGTTATTGAGTGGAAATTTGGACAACAAATACGACTTCTTTTCCTTCCTTCCTTCCTTCTTTCCTTCCTTCCTTCCTTCCTTCCTTCCTTCCTTCCTTCCTTCCTTCCTTCCTTCCTTCTTCTCTCTCTTTTATACTTTCTGTTTTTCTTTCTTTTTGCCCTTTGTCTGCTCATTCTGTCTTTCAGTTATTAAGTGAGTGGTCACTGAACAACTACCATGTGTCTACCATGGTGCTAGGCAGGGCTATGTAAGGTGAATCGACAGGCCTACAGCCCTGCCTACATGAAGACTGTGGTTTCCTGGGAGATAGACATAAAAACATGATTGCACCATATGCACATAAAGATAAAAATTCCCCGCAAACCTGTTAAGGTCTCTAGAAAAAAAGAAATAATTAGTATCATGAGAAAACATAACAGACCTGTGATCTGCAGGGCGGAGGTGAGTTGGTAGACACAGAGTGAAGAGGAGCATCCAGGAATAGTGCATGTGAGTGCGAAGGAAGGGCGAAGGGGAGTCGCATGCATAAGAAAAGAAACGGAGACAGAAGGCCAGGGCAGCCGACATGCAGTGAGCATGGGGGGGGGGGGGATTAGCACAGGATAATCAGGGCAGGCCATTGGTCAGGGTTTATTTAAACCAAGAAACAGAATGGCTGGGAGTGATAATGAGGAATTTATTACAGGGACCTGATCTTCTGCAGTTGGTGGGAGGTGTATTGACAGTTTATCTGAGGCTGTTGTACTTGTGTCTGATGCTGGAGCCTGAAGTCACCAGGGCAGATAGTTGAACAGGAAAGATACAAAGATGGGATCCTGAAGGTCTAACTCCTCCAGAGCTCCCCCATTTGACTTATTCTGGTGGCTGCAGAAGAAGTGGGCCTTTCCTCACAAAGCTTAACATTCACAGTCCAGGAGAAGAAACCAAAGGACAGCGTGGCAGGAGACAAAGGAACTGCAGGCTGGCCACTGCCCCAGGCCAATAGGAGACTGACCCCTTGCCTGGGGCCCTGCACTGCCCTTCTGAGTGTTTCACTTCCTCCTCCCAAATCTGCAAACCCTCTCTTGAGCCCTTTGCACACCTGGAATATGCAGTGAAGGGAATTATGGGAAATTGGTTCCAGCCTAATTAATTCAACACACTACAAATCTAGAGTAGGTAGACAGGGGCCAGATCCTATTGGTCCTTGTTAAGTTCAAATGATATTTTGAGAGCCATGGGAAGTGCTCCTTAACTTTAAGCAGGAAGGTGGGGAAATGACATGGTCAGTTTTATATTTTAAAAAACACCCTTTGCTGCTGTATGGAGAATGGCCTAGAGATAAGGAAAATGGGGTAAAGGGTTCCAGGCAGGACATTTCTGGAGGGACCCCAGCAAGTGAGCATGGGGTTCTAAGGAGAGAGGTGGGCAGCAGAACCAGAAAGAAGCAGGTAAATCAGAATGATCCAGTAATGGGCTCAGTGGGAGGCAGTGAGAGGAGGAAGATGATTACCCCCCATGGCTGGGGAAAGCACTTACTAAATGGGGAAGAATGAGAAGAAGTGGTGGCTGGGAGATGGGGGCTCAATGTCCAAGGGTCTGATTTTGGGCAGATTGAGTTAGTGAGGCATCCGGGATGGGGTTAGCAGGTAGGATTTGGGATCAGACAATCGGGAGAGCATTCAGACTGTGAGACAGGTCTGAGTATAAACAGCATATGGATGGTGTTCGTGGATGCAGATGAAGTCCACTGAAGGAGAGGGGGATGAGAGAGAGAAACCCTGGAGTTACCAAGACATTCTCAGGCATGATCCAGTTTTCATCCTAGAAGGATCTCTCTGACTGTAGCATGGACAGTCATTTGGAAGGTGGTGCCAGAGGCAGAGAGATCAGATATTGGTGACCAACTACAATCTTTAGGCAACTAAAACAATACCAAGTGTTGCTGCTTTAGGCTAAGACTAGGTAAGGCAAAATTATTTAGCTCCTGCTAACCCCTATACAGACACAGATATGGTGGGTAGTGACTGGGTAAGCTACATGAATGAAGCCTATCCAGTTCCTACTATTTCCTTCATAATTACTATTTTAATGAATGTAATAAATTTAATTGCTTAAAAATTGCAGTGAATTTGGAAAACAAAATCATTCAGAATTCGAGGTTCATAGAAAACCAAAGGTCCTGTTGATTCTACCTCCTCATACGTCTTACAAATCCATCCATTTATCTCTAGTCCTGTTTCTACCACCACAGCCAATCCATCATTACCCCTCCCTCATCTGGTTCACCAGGCCAGTCTCCCAGGTCATCTCCTGGCTCTCCCCCTGCAGTCCATCTTCCACAGCTGTCTTCTCTAAGTATAAATCTGACCATGCCATTCCAGCTAAAACCCTTCACTAGCTTCCACTGCCTCCAGAATAATATTCAGCCTCCTCCACATGGCTCCAGGCCCTGCCTAATCCTGGTCTTGCTCTCCCTGGCCTTAGTTCCACTGCATGCCCCACACCCCAACCCCAACTCCTCCTACCCCTAGCTCTTCATCAGCCATCCCCACCCAAGAAAGAGCCCATGCAGGTCTCAGAATGAGCTTTGCCTTTTCCCAGTTTTACAGGCATTTCTCCTTTTCCCTAGGACATTCCCTTGGTAACATTCAGAATCCTTGTCTAGCCCACCACATCTAGGTACCAGTCCCCTCCTCTACCCTACCGTGTGTCCATAACCCTTGTGGGTTCCCCTCAGAGAATGTACTACCCTGTACTGAAATGCTTGTCTCTTTCTCCCTAGATAACACAGAGGCCCTTCTTTCCCTCTTTCCTCCCTCCCTTCCTTCCTTCTTTGCTCCCATCCTTCCATCATTATCCTAGTTTCCAAAGTCGTTATTGGTAAATATGTTTTAGGAAAGAAAAATTGATTCTATTGCTTCCAAGTCTGTAGAATGAGGCACTGTGCCCAGGGACACACCAAGTGATTATACTGAATCACTGCCATGTATGACGTTCCTGGCCACCTGATTGTAGAAGCCCCTTGGATGGGGCCTGGCTTAGGTTCCACTGGATCTGTCTCCCCAAGCATCACTGGTCATGCCTTCACCACATCCAGCACCTCCCAGACATGGCCACGACTGGCCTTGAGTTCATGTATTTCTCTAGACAGAAAGAATGGCCAGTCTTTCAGGTCAATATAGTGCTGCTTCAGGTGTCCATCAGAGTCCTGAAGGAACTTCAGGGCCATAAAGCAGCATTCCTTCTGCTCAGAGATGTTGATGACCCCATCCACCAGGCCACATTGCATGCCCTCCAGTGTGATGGCCATGAAGGTACAGCGAAGGCTGGCATGGTCCCAGCAGCTGGGGCAGAGGCTGGGGTGGGGTGACATGCAGTGGGTGTGCGATAGGGGCTGGGCCCACCCATTTCTTCTTATTCACTGCTATATCTCAATGCTCAACATAAAACCTGGCATGTGGTGGTTGATTAAAAATATGTTTACTAGTAATTAAAGGGGCCTTTGGAGGTTTTAGCTGGGAAAGCTTTGGGACTATTTGGAGCAATCTCAGTGAGAATCAGAGACATGTGCTTTCCCATATTTTCCATAGAGTCTGCATTGTAAGAGAAAGACAGAGAAGAGTGGGCTCCATCTCCCAGTCCCATCTCAAGAGCAGAGCTTTCCTCCCTGACCCAGTATCACACAAAGATGCAGAGATACTTCCCACCCCGCACCCAGACTGCTCTGTGCTGCTGACACTCTTTGTCAGCCTGGCTGCTGGTCAGGGCCCACTCCATACAGGATGCCCAGGGCCTGCTTCATTTTCTCCAGACCCCTCATCTGTATCCAGATGAAGCTCCAACTGGGCCCAGAGCCAAAGAGAAAAGAAGATCCAGTCATTCTCAATTCCCCACAAACTTGACACTCAGTTCCCATTGCAGAAAACACAAACCACCTTCCACTTTTGACGTGCCAGGAAATCACAGTATCTCAGAGCCACAGGGACCCTAAGAGAACACCCAGTGTGACCTTCCTATCCTCTGCTCCTCAGTCATTGGGTAGAAGGGGAAACTGAAGTACAGAGACAGGCAGGGACTTGATCAGGCCTGCTCTGAGAGGCCATGAGATTGTTGGGGCCATATACCCAGGTCCCCCACTTCCTGGCTTCACATTTTTCCCAACCTCTAAATAGAACAATTACCTGAGAATTTACATTTGCAACCTCAAGGGATCTTTTTGCAGCCTCACTCCGCTGATACACCTCCCGTGACAGAGAGCTCAGCACCTCTAGGCAATCTAGATAGCTCTCAGTGTTAGAAAGGCTGCTCTTTACCCTGAATCGGAACCTGACTCACTACCCTCTGGGGACTTGTCTGGGAACTACAGGGCCTGGGGAGATTGTGTGGAAAGAAAAAAACTGGAGAATATTGCATTCCTTGGAATACCCCAGGACAGAACA